CTTGGTCCTGGATGCCCAAGGCCACAATCCAGGCGCAGGCAGCCGCCCGCAGCTCAGGCCACGGGGCGGAGGGCCCAGAGACAGACGGGATGGAGAGGCTGGGGGTGCAGGCCGTGACAGGGGAGCAGAGGCCACAGTGCAGCAGACAGGAGGGAGCTGGGCACAGCCCGATGCGGAGAACTGGGAAGGTCAGATGGAACATAAGGCAGAAGTGGCTGCCTTCCCCTTCCCTAAGCTACTGTCTTCAAAATCCAGTTTAATGGGGGCAGGAGAAGCACACAGGGCTGTACCATGGGCAGCAGGGCCAGCCTGGCCGCACCACTGCCAGCTTCCTGCCTGTCTGTCTGTCTGACTCTGAGCCAGGCAGGCCCAGGGCAGAAAGGACCAGGAGACGCGCGGCCCAGTCCTGCCTGCGTGTGGGTGGCCCCCACCAGAGACACTGCCACCCTGGGACGGTCCAGGGACAGCAGACTGGCACCTGCCCGAGCTGCAGCTTTCCAGGGCCACCTCCCCCTGAGATCATCACCCGGGACACCCAGGACTCTCAGACCAACTAAGTCCACACCCCCAGGCCAGGGCCTTCAGAACCACCCCCACCCAGGCAACTGCGAGGGTGGCCACAGTGGACAGCAGATGCTGGCGCGGCAGCGGGGTCTTGGAGGATGCAACCAGCGAGATTCGCTGAATGGTGAATGAACTTTGATGGGCAAATTGCTCCAAATGGGAGAGAGCCAAAGCCAGCAGGTGTGACCTGAAGTCCCCTAGCCTCCGCACCCCTTCTGACCCCCTGAAAATGCCACACCTCAACCAGAGCCCCATCGGCACCCCAAGTGCTCTCCAAGGGCTCCCCCAGGGCCTCCACTCCCTCCTCACTTGCAGAACCACCTTCGAGCCTCGGAGCCGAAGCCTGTGCCTCCACCCTCTGCTGGGCCGTGGACCAGCGGGCAGGTGGGGACAGGGACAGGGTGCTGTGCAGGCTCAAGGACTGGGCCAGCCCCTGGCCACCGGCCAGGTCTGGGGAAGCGGTGCGGCCTCTTGTCTTGTCCGTCCCTCTCCGTGCGGTGCAGCCCTGGCCCTGGGCTTGAGGTTCCCTCCCTGGTGGAGGCTTCACGGGGCAGAGCGCTGTGCCATCCTCCCGACCACCGGGTCCACGTCCTCCTTCCCCACCCGTAGGGCCGCGCACTCACACGCACCCAGGGTCCACTGACGCCTGTCCTGGCGACACCGGCTTCCCCAGGCGTCTGCTTGGAGCTGCGCAGGCTCTGTGGGTCCTCTGGGTGAGAGCCGCACCGCGCCACAGAAGGGTAAAGCGAGGCCCAAGAAGCCACACAGGGAGCTCTAAGCTGTACCCCAAACTCACTGGATCTGGTGGTGTGGAGACGGATGGTGGGTGAACAGCCAGGCTGCGGCCTCAAGCACAGCTTCTCCATGCCTCCCAGCACCTCAGTGCCATCACCAGCGACCTCCATGACCACAAGGAGGCCCCACAGCCACGTCCGCGCTTCCAGCTTTGCGGGGATGGAGCACATCCGGGAGGCCCTGGGTCGCCCCGAGATGGCCCCGCTACCAGGTCCCCAGGGCTGTGCCCCTAAGCGCCTCACTCATGACCCCTGACGTGCGTGGTTCCCAGGGCTTTCTCACACCAGACCTGTCCTGTTTGGGGGTTTTCCGACACTTAAGACACAAGGACCTTTCTTAGCTTCCACACAGACAGCAGCCTGGACCTGGCCCCTGGCTGCCCGTCGTCTGCTCACCCCGGTCTAGAAGAGAAGCCAACAGCAAATGGGGGAACAAATCTGTACATGAATGCAGTTGGGATGAGGGCCATAAAGGAGCCAAGGAGGGCAACAGAGCAGTAACTGGAGTGAGAGGCCCCTAAGCTTTTAAGTCTGTGAGACAAACATCCAGCTTCAAAGAGTGGGACAGACGATCCCAGGCATCGAGGGAGTAGGTGCAAAGGCCCTGAGATTGAAAATAGGGTGTTGTCTAAATCAGGTGTGGTGGTCCACACCTGTAATTCCAGAACTTGGGAGGCTGAGGCAGGAGGATCATCACTGAGTTCAAGTCCAGCTGGGACCTCATAGTGAGTTTGAGGCCAGCTTGAGAGACCCTGACTCAAAGAAACAAAAAAGAAAGAAAAATAGGGTGGTATCTACAGGGAACTTGAAGAGTGTGAGCAGTGGGGGCTGCTCCCGGAGGGTCCAAGGACCAGACTGAGCGGATTCAGTGACATGAGGGGTCTGCATGGCGACCCAGGCGCCAGAGTCTGCATGAGATCTGGGGAGGGAAAGCAGGGTCTATCTGGGTTAGGAAAGACATTCCGGCTGCTAAGGGAGCAGAGCCCTGGCTGTGGAGACGCCTGCGGGAAAGGGGACAGGAGCCCACTGGAGGTGCAGAAGCCACCACCCTGACGCAAACTCCGCCGTCACCAAGCTGCTCTGGAGGAGCCCAGCTGGGCAGGACAGGTCCGCCTGCTCCACAGCGCGACACCAGTCGCTCCTGATCCAGAGCGGAGCTGGCTTCTGGGCTCGGTGCTCCTGGCAAGAAGGCGTGAGGGGCACAGATGGCAGGGCCTCTCCGGGACCAGCCTCAAAGGTCACCGTCTGTCGCTGTCCCCCACCGGTCCTCTTCCGCCTCACTGGCTGACTGAGGCCCAGACACAAGCTGTGCGGTGACATTTCCTGTGGGCTGACTGTGCGCCAGGCACTGTGGGGCCGGCTCAGTATTTCGTTCCCACCCAGCCTGTGAGCCGGCCCGAGATCACCCCATTCCCAAGTGAGGAAACCAAGGCCGAGGACAGACCACTGGGGGGTCGGGCCCCAGGCCCAAGTTCTCCCATACCATGAGGGGCATCCTTCCTCCTCAGAGCCTTGGTTTTCTCCACTGGGAAGTGAGACTCATGATTTCTGGCTGGGTGTGGTGGTGCAGACCTGTAATCACAGCACTCTGGGAGGCTGAGGCAGGAGAATCACAAGTTCAAGCCCAGCCTGGGCAGTTTAGCAGCTGAACTGGGGACGTTGAAAAAGGAAATGGATTGCTACCAGCTCTTCCAATCCAGATGTGGAGAGTGCCTCCTTTTAGATCCTGCACTCCGTTCTTTCTTCTGCACAACTCTTCCCAGTAGAAGGTCTGAGACTCATTCACACTATGGTGTAAATGGCTCACTCCAGAGTCTGGGCTGTCCATGCCTCTGTGGCATTCTGCAGGTCCGGGACCTTTGGAAGGGATTCTTCAGTTCTCCCTGTCCCAGGAGGGAGGGAGAGGAGGGGGAGGAGAAGGCCTGGGTCTGAGCCCCACTGGGCTCAGACACCCGAGGGGCCTCCCCTCACCGGCACCCAGTGTTCAGTCTGTGTGGCTGCATTCAAGTCTCCGTGACCGCTGAAGTACGGAGGAGGCCTCTTGTCACACCCGTGCCACTGGAGGCCGCCAGACCCGCCACCCTAGCCCGCGCCTGGAACAGGCTCTGGAGCCAAACGGGACCCCACTTGCAATACAGCCACCAGGAGGCTGGGGTCTGAGCCTCATCTGACTTCTGGAGCAGCCAGCCCAGCCCTGGCTCCTGCCAACCGGAGGGTCGGAGGCCACCGGCTGAGACCGCACAGGCCTGAGCTGTTCTGACTGCCCTCAGGCACAGGCAAACTTGCCTCCATCCTATCCATTTGTTTGAAAATTAAAGTCGTGTTTTCATCTAGATCGCCAAATCCAACAGTGGAGGGAGAGGCCATCTGTAGGTATGCTGGGCGGGGGACCCATACTGGGGGTGAGGCCCCCCACAGATCTGCCCCCAGACTTGGGCCCGCTGCTCCCCACCCTTCTACCACCCCCATCCCGCCCTCTCCCCACTCAGGGACCCCCCTCTCTGCCCAGCACCCCTCCCACCGGCCCCAGAGCGCCCCACAGTACCAGAGCATCATGGAAATTGGCTAAGTGGGGTCCAGAAAGGACCCAGGTGAGAGAGATCAGGCCAGCACCCCCCGGCCTGTCCCAGGCCTCTGCCATCTTGGGGACCCCAGGAGAGAAGGGGCCAAGTGTGAAGGCCAAGAGTGGGACAGAGGGTGACGTAGGGACCCAGCACGCACGCACGCACGCACGCGCGCGCGCACACACACACGCGCGCGCGCACACACACACACACACACACACACACAGCAAACCAGGCAGCTCAGAGAGGGAAGCCGGCACCTCATTATTGGTAAAATGCTTGTAATGTTTTTCTCTACCCAGTAGCTTTCGGTTGTTTTAGCAGCTTAGCAAGCACTTGGCTCCAATTGAATTGCAAATCAGCAGAGGACCGAGGCGGTGGGAGGGGCGGGGCGGGGCTCCCGAGGCGCGGAGAAAGGTGTGCGGGAGGCAGGCGGAGGC